AAAAAAAAAAAAACATTGGATCTAGAGTCCAGACTCTTGAAAACATTGCCAAGAAAAAGGACTCTTGATTCAAGCAGATTTAAGCTTAAATCAAAAGGAAATCCGCTCAAATTAAGAGACTTGGTTCTTGATTTAAGCTTAAATCTGATTGAATCAAGAGTATTTTTCCTTTTCGACGTTTTTAAGAGTCTGGACTCTAGATCCAATGTGTTTTTTTTTCCAGTGTATGCGAAAATTCCAAGAGGGAATTCGTATTTTTTAAAAAAAATATTAAGAGGAAAATTTCAATTGAAAATTTGAAGAAAATTTGGCAACACTCAGACGTTCATACGTTGTTCTTCCTCACCGTGGCAGATGAGACGTACTTCATTTCGGGCGTACCTCTCCGCGGGTCTAAGTACACCGATTTTTTACGAGGTTCCGAGGATTTAATCGTGGCAGATCTTCATTTGAAAACCTGTCGATCAAGTTCTCTAATTTTAGACGATTTTGGCACTTGCGACATGCCGTCTGGGGTCGTTACGGAGATTGGAGCGCGCATCATAGAACCGTCGGCGGCGCGGCGGCCATCAGCACCTCAATAAACCGTATCCGAACAGGTTCCTTAATTCCCCCGCCGACTAATTCAGAGGATGTTCCGTCCGACGGTTACGTGAGGACTGGGCCTACGTCAGACATGCCGGCTTTCGTCGTGGAAACCCTTTATTTCACATCAGAACGAACCTCCTTGAATCCAAAGATACATACGATTTTATAAGATTAGGGCAGGTATTTCCTCACTGAAAAAAAATTCTCGGCGTTTTTACCAAGGTCCGTTGGTACCTTTACCATCTCACTTTTTTTATACCAATTATTGGTAATTTTACCAAGACAGACCGGTAAGCTTACCTATAAACCGGTATTTTTACTGTTTTTTCCAGGTAAGAACACCACTTTTATTGGTAATCAATTCCCGGTAACTTTGCCATTTTATCTCGGTAATTCTACCACGGTCGATAAAAAATAATGGCATTTTTACCAAGGTTCAGTAAAATTACCCAGAAAGTTCAATAATTTTACCGAGATTTCTCGGTAAAATTACAAATTCCATAAATGGTAATTTTACCAAGAAAAAACTGGGATCAAGAAGAACCCTGAATTCTTGGTAATATTACCCTTTTCTTAGTAAATACACCGAGATTTTTTTTCAGTGCGAAACGCCCAAAAGTTAGGCAACTCAGGTTCAGGTTTAGGCCCCACGAGTGACCACAGCGGTGGAGCCGCGTACATCCGCGCGCGCATGTGTTTTTCACACGCGTATAATTTAGGAAATGAGCCTATTGAGGCGTGTAACTACCGCATTACGGTGACGGCTTTGTCTACGGATGGATGGAATCGTAAATATAATGATGATGGTCCCAACGGTAGCGGTATGCGGCGGCGGTAATGATAATTTTTTCGCTCACGATACGTACAATCCGGTATTCATCGTATGTAATGAGCGTTGCACAGAGCCGCAGAGGGCAGAGCGCGGGAGTGAGCAAAGTCATATGACAGCCATTAGGCCCTCCCGGTCGTCCTTGACATGCACCCGGGTCCCGCGTGTGCACTATTGCCACGCGTGGATGCGAAACCGGTCCGCGCGGTCGACACCGGAATACCCGCGGTACCGCACCGCGCCGGGTTTCGGAAGTACGTACCACCTGTGACTCCTTTCTATTGAAGTGCATCTGGAGAGAGGGGACAATGGTTCCCATGCACTTACAATACCGCTAGGGTGTCCCAGACCACCCGTGCCAGGTTTTTTTCTCGGTTTTCTGGATCGGACGAAGTCGCGGACCTCGGGGACGAGGAGGGAAGCGATCCCCAAAAAATCTGGATTTCACGACCTCAAAGGTTCTCCGGCCTCCGACCGGGGAGGGGAGGGGGGTCGCGACTTTAAATGTTGGGGATCCTGTTATCAACGTACGGAAAATTTTATCTCAAAACGAAACCAAGATTTCCAAAATCGACTCATTCCTACTTGCAATATTGACCCCGGCAGGGCCAGGGGCCCTTTTAACCAAAATGCTATGTCTCTAAATAAACGTAGAGGCTCAGGAAAAATATGTTTTCCTAGGTAATGGACCAAGAAATCCTTTGACGGTCCCTGAAGCCCTCACACATTTGCTGACGAACGGGCTACAATTTTGAATATTTTTTAAAGTTAGGTTCCAAGTTCATGTCGAGCTGACCACTCTGCGGGGGCAAGCAAGAGTTCCATCTGTTCGATCCCGATCGAACAAACTTAGAGCAATTTTAGGAAATTTCATCATCCTCATTTTTANAAAAAAAAAAAAAAAAAAAAAAAAAAAAAAAAAAAAAAAAAAAAAAAAAAAAATTGACATTGTGGATTTTGACGGGGTCATGCATGAGGAGGGTTCATTCAACGGAAAGTGGTGCCATTTGCCCTGACATTTCCTCGTTCTCCCTGACTTCTTAAAATTCCCTGACATTTCCCGGTACTCACCGACTGTGACAACCCTGTCGTAAAATGTATCCCAAGAAAAACCCCTATGAGGTGCCGGAATAAACAACAAAATTAGCATTTTCGGTCGAAAAATTCCACGTCGGACCTCTCTGAAACGTTCATTGTACCGCGCGGCGATGCGGCGCGGCGGCGCTCGAAAACCACTCGACACGAAGAGATAACCGCGTGAAAGAAGACGAAGAATAATGGGACGAGCGTAAATCGTCGGGGGGCGAGTGGTTGTGCTTCCATTCAGTGGAAGTCCTCGGCGGCGCACAGAGGAACGAGAAATTAGAGGAGGTCGGACGTGAAATTTCGGACAAAAACTGCATATTTAGGGGTTCATTTCATCTGATATCATAATTAGAGGGGTGCTCTTTGAAGCAAACTCTACAAGGCACCCGATGGTACCACTTTCATAACCTCAAAGTTGTAAGGGTTGCCACAGAATTAAGAAAATGAAATTCCTTGACATTTGCTTTTGACATTTCCCTGATTTCACTGACATACTTCGGTCAAATTCCCCGACGAAGTTATGTCAGATGGTCAAAAAGACATA